TTCTAAAAGCAGTTAAAGTGAAAAAGGCAGCCATGTTGCCACAGCTCCTGATTGTCCACTAAACCTTTTCATAAAGCAGGTTCTGAGCTCTCAGCTCCAGGTCTTTGGGAACGTCCAGCTGCTTTATCTTCCTTGTTTTTGTTACTTCAGTAACTTTCATGGTAATTTGATTCCTTACATACTGTAGTATTATATTTCTGAATGAGTAAGATGAACCCACTCTGAAGTATTTATACTTCTTCTTCCCGTACACCATGACCCTGATGGAGTCACTCTGATCAGCCAGGCCCAGGTTAAAGAAGTCCTTCACCTCTTTGTCTCTGCTTGTAGAAGTACACAGAGAAGATTTCTTCACTACTTTACCAACTACAGCTTCTCCATCTTTACTGGTGGTCTTCAGCTGTTTGATGGAGTTCCTCTGGACGGTGGTCTTCAGCTGTTTGATGGAGTTCCTCTGGACGGTGTTCTTCAGCTGTTTGATGGGCTTCTTCTGGACGGTGGTCTTCAGCTGTTTGATGGGCTTCTTCTGGACGATGGTCTTCAGCTGTTGGATGGGCTTCTTCTGGACGATGGTCTTCAGCTGTTTGATGGAGTTCCTCTGGACGGTGGTCTTCAGCTGTTTGATGGGCTTCTTCTGGACGGTGGTCTTCAGCTGTTTGATGGGCTTCTTCTGGACGGTGGTCTTCAACTCTTTGATGGGCTTCTTCTGGATGGTGGTCTTCAGCTGTTTGATGGAGATCTTCTGGATGGTGGTCTTTGGTTCTTTGATGGGCTTCTTCTGGACGGTGGTCTTTGGTTGTTTGATGGGCTTCTTCTGGATGGTGGTCTTCAGCTGTTTGATGGAGATCTTCTGGACGGTGGTCTTTGGTTTGATGGGCTTCTTCTGGACGGTGGTCTTTGGTTGTTTGATGGGCTTCTTCTGGACGGTGGTCTTTGGTTGTTTGATGGACTTCTTCTGGATGGTGGTCTTCGGCTGTTTGATGGGCTTCTTCTGGACGGTGGTCTTTGGTTGTTTGATGGGCTTCTTCTGGACGGTGGTCTTCAGCTGTTGGATGGGCTTCTTCTGGACGGTGGTCTTCAGCTGTTGGATGGGCTTCTTCTGGACGGTGGTCTTCAGCTGTTGGATGGGCTTCTTCTGGATGGTGGTCTTCAGCTGTTTGATGGAGTTCTTCTGGACGGTGGTCTTCAGCTGTTTGATGGAGTTCTTCTGGACGGTGGTCTTCAGCTGTTTGATGGAGTTCTTCTGGACGGTGATCTTTGGTTGTTTGATGGGCTTCTTCTGGACGGTGGTCTTCAGCTGTTTGATGGAGTTCTTCTGGACGGAGGTCTTCAGCTGTTTGATGGAGTTCTTCTGGATGGTGGTCTTCAGCTGTTTGGAGTTCTTCTGGACGGTGATCTTTGGTTGTTTGATGGGGTTCCTCTGGACGGTGGTCTTCAGCTGTTTGATGGGCTTCTTCTGGACGGTGGTCTTTGGTTGTTTGATGGGCTTCTTCTGGANTGGATCAGGACTCAGAGTCTGGATCAGGACTCAGAGTCTGGATCAGGACTCAGGATCAGGACTCAGAGTCTGGGTCAGGACTCAGGATCAGGACTCAGATGGTCCACAGATGAACAATCAGAGGTTTTCTTAAGTTTAAACTTTATTCTTTAATAAATCGATGAATGAAATTAAATCATCTGGAGCTGAAACAGAACCTCTGGTCCTGGTCCTGGTCCAGGTCCAGGATCTGGTCCTGGTCCTGGGTTCATTGTCCTGAGTCTCAAAGAGTCAGAGTCTTTTTAAATCAGCAGGTAAACTGTTGATCTGTTGTTGTTTGTTTGTTTTTATTGTCCATATGTGAATAAACTGATGTGGATCTGAACACAGAAGAACTTTACTTACTGAAAAATGTTTCTATTTTTGTACTTTGGGTTTGTTTGGAGTGTAAACATGTTTGTTTACAAACAACCAGTGTGAGACTGGTTGTTTGTTTACAACCAGTGTGATACTGGTTGTTTGTTTACAAACAACCAGTGTGAGACTGGTTGTTTGT